GGGGTTGACTATGCTCCCTGTCTCCATGCACAGTGCTCCCTGTCTCCATGTCATAGAGGTTGGCTGTGCTCCCAGTCTCCAAGTCACATGGGTTGACTGTGCTCCCTGTCTCCATGTCACATGGGTTGACTGTGCTCCCTGTCTCCATGTCACAGGGGTTGACTGTGCTCCCTGTCTCCATCTTCTCTGACCACTGTCCGTCTTTGCCTCCTCGTGGCTCCCCCTCTCTGAAATGACTCTTCTGGAGGTCTCCAAGGCTGTGTCCTGTCCTGCCTCCTGTTCACACTCATGACCCTGCTATGCCCTCACAGCTCCCCTTGTCTCTTTGCACATACTTCCTGTCCTCTTCTGCTGATCCAGGGATCCTCTGCTCCCTCCTGCAGCTGCAGACCCAGCTTCTCAACTCCTGCCCCAACTCATTCACTCATGAGAGGGTTGGAGACTTGCCTGCCTCAGCCACATGCCTGGCAGATTTCTCAAGTTGTGGCTGTGGCTTTCTGTGCCTGGGCTTGGTGTGCAGTGCACTGTCACTTGCATGAAGACATGTCCTCAGCAATGTCGTGATGTTGCCTCTTACCTGGCTAACAGCCCTGTTTGATTTCATTTCCCACTTTTAGAGTATGTGTGTGTGTGTGTGTGTGTGTGTGTGTGTGTATGATGTGTGTACATGAATGTAGCCCCTTGAGTATCAAGGCACATGTGTGCATGGTCAGAGGAAAGCTTTCAGGAATCAGTTTTCTCCTTTCACTGTGGAGTCCGGGGACCGAGCTCGGGTAATCAGGCCTGTGCAGCCAGCCCTTTGACCTGCTGAGCCACCTCACCAGCTCATCACCTTGGTTTTTGAGGCAATGTCTTTCACTGCCTTTGAACTTGCCAGCTAACCTAGACAGCTCAGCCACTGAGCCCCCATCTGCCTCCCCAGCTCTGGGCTTTTTTATTGAACCCAGGTCCCCATGCTGTGCACTAAGCATTTACCCACGAAGCCACCTCCCCAGTTCCCAAGGTGATTTTTAAAAAGTCATTACTAATTGTTGTCCATCTAAGTAGGTGGAGTGGTGACTGTTCTAGCATCTACAAACCTTGTTCGGGCAGGCTGCCACTAGATGGCTTAGCCTCCAATTCCTCACAACACAGGCAAAATGGGCATACAGAGAGTCCTCTCCTGTCCTCCTATGTTCTGGCTAGCAAGGCAGCACAGGAGGCTTGCTCTGAAGAGTGAGTATAAATTCGCTGCTATTGCCAGAGGAACCTTCCCCAGCTCAGCACACCCCTGGCTCATGATGGAGGGAATGGGCTCGGAGGAGGCTGTGCCTTCCTGAATCACACAGCCAGGGACTCTTCTTGGGCTATGGAATTGTATCACAAGCTCTGAAGAGTCCCTTCTTCTGGCACCTGTCTGCTGTGCAGAGAGTTGTCCTTTCTGCCACAGGCGAGCTTTTCTTAGCCTCTGTTGCAATAATTATTACATTTATCGTTCATGCTTTCTGTGTTGTGCGTGGAGATAGGAGGACAACTTGTAAGAATGTTTCCTTCTCATTGTTTCTCTGGGTTGCTGGCTCTGCTGGCCTTGTGTTACAGACACATCTTTCATTCATTTAAAATCCACAAGGCTGACCTGTCTACCTACAAAACTATAATTAGATATGCTACAAGTCGAAAAAGAGAAAGGGATCTACTTTGAAAAATCCCAGCTCTGGGGACCAATTCAGCAGATAAGGAGTGTCAGAGGGTGGCCTGAAGGACATTTGTGGCTGCAGGGACAGAGAACTCATCTGGACAGGTCCCACCAGAAACCTGAGGCAAGGTAGGCTGGGAAGGTCACATGGCAGCTGTGTCTGGCCCCTCAGCACATCTGTGCAGAGCTCAGATGCCTGTGTCAGTGTCCCTGTTGAATGGTGAATTCCTGCCAATGGTGCTTGGTTGAAAAGTGAGTACTGAGTGTGGTGGCCCACACCTTTGATAGTGGTATTCAGAAGCAGAGGCAGCCAGATCTCTGTGAGTTCCAGGCCAGCCTGGTCTGCATTGTGAGTTCCAGGACAGCCATGGCTACACAGGACCCTGTCTTGAAAAACCAACAATAACATGAGCACCTTTGTTCAATTGTTTGTCTTTTATAACTCTGCTAACACTGGCTGGGACATTATCCCATTTTCACAGATTCAGAACCAGATTTGGAGAGGAAGCAGCTGTGCCCAAGCCATGGTGGAGAACTTGATGATGAGGCTCAAGGACCCATACAACCACAGCAACACGGCATCCCACAGGACAAAGGGACATGGCACAATGTTGGCTGGCAAGGGCAAGACTCTTTCCAGCATTAAAAAAAAAAACAAAAAAAACAAAACAAAACCAAAAAGCCCACAAGCTTGTGTGTGCAAGCGTGCACAGGTGTGCATGAGCATGGTGATCAGAGGACAACTTTTGGGACCCATTTTTCTCCTCCCATCATGAGTGTTCTGGGGATCAGACTGATATCATCAAGCCTGGTGGTAAAGACCTCTCCCACGGAGCCATCTTGCTGGCTCTCTTTCTAGTTTTTTTTTGTTGTTGTTGTTTTGTTTTTTTTTTTTTTTTTTTTTTACATAGATTAAGAAATAGAGCCAGGTTGTGGTGGTGCATGCCCTTAATCCCAGCACTTGGGAGGCAGAGGCAGATGTATCTCTATGAGCCTGAGCCCAGCCTAATCTACAGAATGAGTTCCAGGACAGCCAGCTACACTGAGAAACCCTGACTCACAAAAAAAAAAAAAAAAGGAAAAATAAATCCTTAAATGTTCGATGATGTGGTGAGGGTTATAGCTTCCAGATGTACAGGTGACGGGTTGCCATGTGTCTGGAGAGCTGCTCTGTGTCACCCAGCACTCTACTGAGCATGCACACCGAGGACACAGTCTACAAGGTTGTACTTTTTCCGATGCAGAAAGAGGAAAGAGTCATCACACTTGGTTACTAGCGTCTGGAACCAGCCTCAGCCAGCTCTACTGTCATGTCTGGTCTCAGGGACTTGTGCTACAGCCACCCAGTGCATATACCTGGGGAACGGTTAATACTGTCAATCACACGGGGGTCTAGCCTTAGGCCATGCCTGGGAGGGATTATTTAGATTAGATTAACTGAGGTAGGAAGACCCACTTTAACATTGGGAGGCACCAATTTACTGAATAAAAAGAAGCAAGGAGGCTGAGCATTGACACCCATTGTTACTTTCTGCTTCCTGATTGCACATGGCCGGCTGCCTCACGAACCTGCTGAAGTAACTTATCTGCCATGAAGGGCTGTGTGCTGAGACTGTGAGTCTAAATAAACCTCTTAATCAAGTTGCTTTTGTCACAGCAATGAGGCAAGCAGCATACCCACTCGATGCCTGAGGTTTTCCAAGCCCACACAGTGAGTTTTAAGGAATCACTAACATAGCCATAACTCCTGACCAGAGAATGCAGCAGGGGTTAAAGTTTAGCAATCTGCATACACTTTGCTTAGCCCAGTGCCGCACACGTGTGCAGAGTGGATCTGATGATCCATGAGTGACTGGCTGATAGCTTAAGAACAAGGTTTTCAGAATTAACTCAGCTTCAATACGGAAATCAAAACAGGAGAAGACAGGACTCACAGGAAATCACATACACTTTTAACTCTCAAAATAAATACCACTCAATTTTATTTTATAAATACAGATGCTGAGTTTTCTTCCAATTACCAACAGACCAGCTTCTCATGCCATTTATTGCTGTTGGTGGTTTAAAACTTATCTAAGTAACCAGTTAGGTCAGAGTAAATGGGTACAACCTTCCAACACTAACATTCTGAGGGAGAAAAAAATATCTCTGGAATTTTTAATGTGGCTAAGGGGAAATGGAGAGAGAACTCACAATCAGATTTTCATTGTATGATTTGTGCAGCCTCAGAACTGTCTCAACCATGTGAAAACACAAGGGGCTCTTAGAGGGCCAGAAAAGGAGAGCAGCGAGTCCTCCATTTCAGTTTCTATCTTCCAAGCACATTCTGTTATAACTTATAAGACTAACCAGACTAATCAGAAAGATCGGTAGGAGATAAGATCATTAGGGAATTTGGCCTTGGCCGCACTAAACAGAGGTGAAATATACTCTGTAGCTGCTGGAGGTATGTTCCACCCAGGTCACAGCAAGTAACAAAGGATGCCAACCATGGTTGCAAGCTGAGCACCATTTAGGAGCATACATGGCTGATAGTTTGGGCATGCTGAAAGTACGGGCAGAACCGATCAGCTCAGAGCAATGCGAGCCCACGCAAGAGGGTCAAGCTGTGGAAGTAGCTTCAGCCCACTTTTAGGAGGTCCAGAAGGCAGAGAGCAATGGGAAGATCTCAGAGCTCTCTGATACCTGTCAGGATCAGGGGACTCGAAGGTGAGCATAGGTGCTTCTGCATGGAGCCTCAGGTGGCAGTCTCAGGTCACATGGGACTCACCTTCCACCTGCACCAGCAATGACCTTCACACACCTTTACCTTTTGGAGATGCCAGATCCTCCCCCAGGATTCCACAGTATCTCTATATTTAAGATGGCGAAGTCCTCCACCCGCTTTGACTCCAATGACAACACTAAGAAGCCTCCCTCACCCACAAATGGAATGACGTGGACTTCCTCAGACCAAGCAAAAAGCAGGAGGGCTGTGTGCTGTATAATAAGTCTATGCATTTACTATCTGGGAATAGTGGTACACCAATTAGTTCATCTAGCAATATGGCTGCTAAGGAAAGCTGGGCCCAGGAACGCTTGGCTGTAACACTGACATGTCTGAGACCGTCGAGTTAAGGAGCTACCTGGGACAACCTCACTACTGAGGAATACAGCTGTGAAGTATGTCTTGTTTGTCACAGTATGTAAACTCAGATGAAATCAACAGCAGCAGCTTAGATACAGCCATGGCTTTAGTTCAGGCTAGCCCAGTCATGATGTAACATACAGAGATGTAGGTTTAGAGGGGAAAAGAACAAAATAAAACAAAACAGGGGAGAATCAGTTCAAGTGAAGTAAATTCAATTTTTATTCTTCTTTACAATACATGGATATGTGGATAAATTTTTCTTTTAAGAGCTTGCAACCCTGAGGCAATGTCTGTGGGTACATAATGTGTAATGCAACAGCAAATGGAATCTCAATGTGTAAGGACAATGGACCTAGAAAACATAATTGAACATCGTGACACCGCACACGTCTACGCTTTATCTAGCCTCTTAACCCAACGATCTCTCTCAGTCTGCACACTGGACATCCTATCCTGACTCTACCTATACTTTGTCATATATACTGGCTTCCTTCCGACTGAAATGTAATAATGTAATAAGTTAACAGGATTTATACCTAGGGGGTCTTTATCTGGGATGTGTATTGCCAGAGGCGTGCCCAATTTTGGACCACATAAAAACTTTGGCCCCAAAGGAAGCTGGCTGCCATCTCATCTGACTGTGGTAACCATGAGGTTTCTGAGTGTTCCCTGGGATCCACCACAGGACAATTTTTCATCAGGGTATGGCACACTAGACAGAGACAGAACATCAGTTCTGCTGGTTTTGGATTAGTGGATTTACCGCCCCAGCTTTCAGGATGCATGGCCCATCTTGAGGAAGCAGGCCAACAGTGAGGTCTGCGGGCTGACTATGGTACTCGGGGCCGAGGGCCTGGAACACAGACCACCACTCCGTTTCTTATTCATCAACCTAATGGATGGGCATAGGCCTCTCAGTGGTGGAAAGTTATTTTTGAATATTCCATTTTGCAAAGTTTTACAAATGATGGAGAGGGCGGGTGCTTATGAGAAACGAAAGGTGAGGTCATTCTGTTACATATATTATCATCTTCCCTCTGAGGAGAACACACAAGTGTAAATAAAGCGCAGACAAATGCCTATAACATGACTTGAGCTGTAAGCAAGAGGTGACCTTGGCCTGGAAAGTGAATCTCACGGACTGGCCCCACTGGTATCCAATGACCCTGAATCCACTCTGTTCCCAAAGTCAGCCTTTCTGAGGAATCTGCTCCACTGACACTCATGTGTCGGAATTATTAAAAAGGCTAAGTGCTGCTTGGGCCTGGTGGAGGGCAGCGGCTCTGCCCTGGTCCTACAGTCTGACTGCTCGCCTCACTTGTCAGAACTCCTGCGAGGCCGGCGGAAGCTGGACACGTTTTCGCTGAGGGCGTAGATCCTCCGAGAGAACTCCTCAAACTCTCCCAGCACCTGCTCGTCACACTCCACCGCCACCGCGCTGTCCACGGGGATGCAGCCGAGCACTTCGAGCTGGTCGCCTGAGGTGAAGCCTGTGGCTTCCAGCCCAATAATTTCCTCTGCTTGTTCCACTGCACAGCAGAGCTCAGCTGAGGGGGCCGGGTGGCATGGGCCTGGCAGCAGGGTGCTGGCAGGGCCAGCCTGCTCACCGGGAAGTGCAGTGCCATTTATGGCTGACAGGTGTCCAGGCAGGGCCTCCCCCTGTCCTTGGCCGGAGTCCGCATGTCCGTGGTCTCCACTTACACTGTTGCCCAGGTCTACTCCTGTTTTCTTATTTTCTTTGGAGAAGTCCAGGGAGGTGTCCAGCGAGGACGACAGTGGGGTGACCTTCCTCTCTGAGTCTCCCAAGGTAGGTGTGGCCACCCCAGGCTGTGTCAGTGCTGAGTTGTAGCTGGGAGGGGGCGTTCTGTATTGGAGTCTCTCATTCTCTGAGCTGGCCCGTTTCCGATGTACCTTATCTGGTGAAGGGACACCTGAAGAGAAGCCTACATCTGCACCCCCAAACATGGAGCTTTGTCTCTTCGGGACAGGGATGGCATTGGAGATGTGATGTCTGTCACTAGAAGAGAAACAAAAATGAGAAGTTACTTTCTGCTTTGGAACTCTGGTTACCTTCTGGGATCAGAAATTGGAAACAATATATTTTAGATCTGAGATTAAAAAAATCAAAAACAAATACCCAAGCAGAATTAGATTACTATCAATCTTAGATGGTATTTGTTATAGTGTTTAAATCAAGAAACAATACAAAACCTGCTTTGGTGACTTCCTTCTAGGAGGATACAAATTTATTCAATGTATTTAAGACAAGAGTGCCCAAGGTAGGATGAGGGGCAGAAACCGTGCCACTTGGTGAAGAGCGGAAGGCTCCAGTTAGACTGAATCTACATGGAAACGTGCGATGGGCCAGCCATTTCTGTGAATGCTGCCGGGCCCTCAGGGCTCCCATCTGACCGTGACTATTCAGTCCTATGAAAAGTGCTCATGCAAGATGAGTTGCCACGGAAACTTGCTGATGGATGGCCTTTCCAACGCTCAGTACTCATCACCCAGCAAAAGAGAACCACACAGACGGCATCGAGGGAACCCTTCTTCCTCTTTAATAAAACATTACCACAGGAAATGGCTCCTCTTTTACAAGGCTGGTCACATACGTTTTTATAATACTTGGTCTTCAGTGCCTACTTTGAGCCAGGAAAAATAATCATTGTCCAGCCACAGGTTCTTTAGTAACCTTATGTGTATCATTTCAGTTGGGCCTTACAAAGTCATTGTCAAGAAAGGAGAGTAACTCTGAAACAATAAGTAACCATCAGTTAATGGGGCAGAGCAGCAGACCACGAGCCATGGCTGGCAGCAGAGCCTGCAGGGAGCACTGGCTGTAGCTATAGATGTCACTGTGCGGGTGAAATCAGCTTCAACACAGCTTTATCAGCAGAAGACACGGAGGCCGAGGGAGGCGGACCATCTGACTCTTGTCCTTCAGGAGAGGACACACACAGAGGTAACGGGCTTGTCACTAGGTAGGACTGAAACCACAGCACAACTGGCTACTACCTATGCTGGGTCTGCCAGAGGCGACTGGCAGAAGGGAGAGGGAGCCTTCAGGGGCTTCCACTCCTGCCAGAGGACATTTCTAATTATTTTAGCAACATTACTTTCAAATTACAATGTCAGTTAAGTACTGACACAAAACAAGGGACCAACAGTGCCTCCTGTGTGCACAGACAAGCCTGCAGCCAGAAGGCTGCTCGTCGCTCGCTGCTTGCAGCTCACTGCTCCTTCTCTGTACAATGCTATGGTCTTTTCTCACACGGTGTCCCTCCATTGGCCTGCCCCATCTCGCTCAGCCATAGCATGGTGTCGTAGCATGGCGAGCTTCATAATAATAAGTGGTCCCTGGGACATATATCAAACTGGGCAAGTGGACCAGCTAATGACTGTTTGTAGTTCATAAGAAAGATCAGGACCAAACTGAGCAAAACCTGCTGGTCTCCGTCTAGGTTTTCAGTTACTATGTTGTCAAGCCTACTGTGACTGGCTTAGCTACATGTTTTGGCCAACCTTGTTTTACTCTCCGAATGGTCCTGCATCAGACCAGCAGCCCTCAGCCTGTTGACTCAGGATGGACAAGATCAGCACAGGTTGCTGTAGGAGAGGTCACTGGGTGTAACCACTGGCACTTCGCAGCCTCTGGCTTTGAAGGGTGAGGGCCCTGATACCCTCTGTGCGGCTCTGGCCTCTGGCCCCTCACTTCTGTCTCTGCTCCTCTGTTGACAAAGGCAGGTGCGAGGAATGCATCCTGACACACCCGGCTGTGTACAGTGCAGGAACGCATTCTACAGCCCTCACTGATGTTTTACACCTCCCCTCAGCTCTCCTGGACTCTGCACAACAGAGAAGTGATGTGATTCTCCTCCCTGTGACACATACAATGGGAAGGGAGCAAGAGTTTTCCTCAACGCCATCCTGTTAAGTCCTTAGCCCCTGGAGCCTGTGTGTGCTGCCGGGACAGAAGGCAGGCTGCTGAGGGCTGCTGAAGGCTAATGACCACAGCTGTCCCGGACTCCGTCTGAGCCCACAGCCCATGCTGACATCATGTTCCAATTCTCCCACCCCTGTGTGCATCCTGAGATCAGGGGGACACGGCTGCACACCACAGCTGAGGCCTCACTGACGCAGACTCAAAGCCTGGCTGTTTACTCCTCTCTCATGTGTAGGCAGATGTGGGCATTTTCTGACATCCTCTGTGACATTCTTCTCTGGATCATTCAGGTACTTATAGGAGGAGCTCAGGAAATGAAAGTGTCTGACATAAACTGAAAAACTATCAGAAAACATGTTCTTGTATAAATAGTAAGAAGATGAAGCGGGATGTGATGAAATGAATCTGTAGTCCTAGCACGTGGGGGTTTGAGGCACGAGGACTGGCAGTACAGAGTAAAACATTGTCTGTCAGTTACTTCTGAGAATCAGTGAGGACCGCTTACTGTTTTAGCCAACTTTTGTCTTTTCCCTCTTAGTTTTGAGCTACGTGAGATGAAAACCTTAAAAGATTTAAATATTAAAGTCTTTCACACAATTTAAAAAAGCAGAACAAAAAAGAAATTTCTTGCTGACAGGGCTACAGGTATGAACCCCATCACCAAGTACCGACTAAGTGGAGAGCAGCAGGATTTTCAGGGCCTCTGGGTACAGGGTGTGGGCTGCTCCTGTCCCTCCTGTGGCTGCAGGCCTCACACTGACATCTTTCCCTGATTTTCTAAACCGTCGCCCCGGGACTGCGTGCAGTGTGCCTGTAAGCAGGTGCACAGTAGGTGCATTAGGTTTTGTTCTGAGCTCTGGGCATTGAACTAATGGAAGTCTCTGCAGACACACTTTACACGTGAATTTGTAACATTAATGTTAGCCACTCAGAATGGGTGTTTTTACATTCAGAATCTTAGTGATATTCCAAACTTTTAAGATAGCTGAGCTCTGAACAGCTAAGGCATTTACATGGTGATATTAAAATTACATACTAAGGATGGATGCATTTTTAATTATCGCAGTAATTTAAACTTGCAGGAAAACAACATAGATATAAACTACATATAAAAAACCCTATCATAAACTATTATCCATCAAGTAACCACTATTAATTTTGGATGTTTTCCTTTTAAACATCAATTTTATGTATGTTTAATTAAAAAACCCCCACATAATTCTGCATCCTGCTGTCATATGTTATTAAAATATCTGGGTAAATATCATTTTAAAAGGCTGCTTTAATGAATGGAATGTTGTAATTTATTTAATTATTCCCTCATTTTTAGGATGTTTCTGAACTTTTTACTGTCAGAAAACAAACGGCTGTTCATATCTCATAGGCTGATGATCTGAGTGTGAACCTGGGATCCACAGGGTTTGGTGGCTGGGGCGGGTGGGGCAACTTAGAAAACTTGCACAATAAGTAAGTATAAGTAAAAAGAGCAGCAATAAGAAACACTGATAACTTACTAAAAGCTACAGATGTTTAAGAAACTTTTTGTCTGATTACAGTCTTACTTTATGACTATTTTTATCTGATTAAAGAGTCTGAAACGCAGGTTTACTAATTGTGACCAATTTTTAATTGCTATTGACAATTTGCTTATAAAGTGAAAATTGTACATTATGTAAACTGTGATTAAAAAGAATTTCTACACTTACACAGACACACACATACATGTACACACACACACACAAGCACACACACAGAGACACACACATACACAAACACAGGCTTGAGGATACAGCATAGGACATGGGTAAAAGGCAGAGGGAGAGGGACAAAACCTCCCCAGAGCATCAGAAAGGGTCTAGCAGGAAACATGGTAGTTCTTCCTGAAACCCAGCCTCTGGTAAGGGCCCTGGGAATTCTGAGCCCTAGACTTTGGGTGCAGAGTCTGGAGTTCAGGTAAGCTCACTGAGTCTGCCTCCTCTCCTCAGTCACTTGCCCTGAGAGAATGAGTCTTCTGGCTTGCTATGTGTTCAGACTAGGAATACTGTACCTGGGGTTTAATGTTACAATTAGAATTTATTAAAATGAACAAATAAACAAACTACAATACAACAATTAAAGCTATGCTAATTGCAGACTTATTGGGCATAGTTTAGTGGAAAACAAAAAGTCAGAGTCTGTGGATGGACAGCCTGTCAGGGCAGCTAAGTGACTGAATAGCTAGCACTAGCTGTGAGAAAGGAAGGGCTTCAAGGGTCAAGCATCGGCATGGGAAGGAGCCAAGCAGCTTGGAGTTAAAGATTAAAGAGAACACAGGTTTGGGTTCTCCTAGATGAAGGTGGTGGCTGCCTCTCTCACGGTGGGGGCCGCATCATCTAAGTCAGTCAGTCACCTTCCCTGGTCTTTACAGCTTTATGTAAAGACTGTTCTCTGGAGAAAGGATGTTCAAAGCCCTGGACTCCACTCCCAGGGCTATTTGACTACTTAGGTTACAACTTCCCGATCCTTTTATTAGTTACATGACCAGGGGCAGTTTCTCCCTTTCCATAGCGAGCTATGGAAATACGGCAATGCACTTAAATTCCTTGGCTAAGCCGGGGGAGGTAGTGCATGTCTATAATCCAGCCCTTGGGAGATGGACGTAGAAGGACCAGGCTACATAGCAAATTTGAGATACTGTCTCAAGAAACTCCCAACTAAAACAAAACAGAAACCAACAAAACAAGGCATTGAGGTGGTTGTGAGGGTCAGAGAGTTGAGGAAAAACCAGTACTGAATCAATGAGCAAACTTTGCCTGTGGTGAGCGGGCAGTGTCTTCCCTCTTGAAGTATGAGGTGAAGAAAGCTTTGAATAAAGGAGAAATGCTTAAAATGCCCTATTTAGATGATCTACCAGCTGCTTAGGGACTACAAGAACTTCCCAGAATCCTTTGAGGTCTACATTCCAATTGTCCCCAAACCCCCAAAGCACCGTTTTTCTCTATATATTTAGCTCACAGAGAGATTTTTGTAAAAAGGAAAACCTCTATTTCCCTGACCTAAGTCAAGACGACCATGGCCAGCAATTTAATGGCCTG